GATGCAAAAATTTTCATTAAAATATTAGCAAACCAAATTCAATAACATGTTCAAATGATCATATGCCATTACCAAGTGGGATTTATCCCTGGGATGCAAGAATGGTTCAACATGCACAAATCAATAAATGTGATATACTATATTAGTAGAATGAAAGCTAAAAATTATATGATCATCTCAGTAGATACAGAAAAAGCATTTGACAAAATACAACATCCTTTCATCATAAAAACTCTCAAGAAATTGGGTACAGAAGTAACACACCTCAGCATAACAAAGGTCTTATGCATATGCACAGCTAACATCATACTCAAGAGTGAAAGATCAAAACCTTTCCTCTAAAGTCAGGGACAAGACAGGGCATCCACTCTCACCACTCTTATTTAACATAGTACTGGAAATCCTTGCTAGAACAATTAAGCAAGACAACGAAATAGCAAGCATCCAAATCATAAACAAAGAAGTAAAATTGCCATTATTTGCAGATTATATCATCTTATATAGAGAAAATCCTAAAGCTTGAGTCAAGTGTTCCGTCCTAAGGGTTTCTATATTCTACAAATGAAATTAGCATGTCTTGTACAGTATCTGATGGGAAGACCTATGATCACATCTAACTACATACTCCCCTTGAGATTCAGAATTTCTCCAGGTTCCACCAGGAAGATCAACCGTGATCTCTGCAGGAGGTATGTGCATTGTGTATGTGGCTTTAGGTGACATTGCTTTAAGTTTTACCTATCAACCCCAAACCTTCTTTTCACTATTTTTCGAAAGTGCCTTCAAGGACAATCATTCTTAGTTTCCTATCTATCTATCTATCTATCTATCTATCTATCTATCTATCTATCTATCTACTTATCTATTTATCTACCTACCTACCTACCTACCTTCTTACTTACTTATTTATTGCCATGGAATGTTTTTCCTTTTAGTAACTTTCTGTTATTTTAAAAGGACTTCAGAGACAAGGAAAAAGGGTGCCACCTCAATCAAATAATGATTAAATGGAATTGAGTAATTCCCACTGTAGACTGAAAAGAAAACAAGCCATTGGTGATGGGTTTAGAAGACTTGTTGGCTTGAAGAACATTTCGTGAAATCTACTGAATTTGTGGTGCTCCAAAGGAAGTAAAATTGAAGTTATACAAATAAAAGGGTCTATAAGAGTGTGGTACCAAATTTCCAACTTGGACAAAAACTAAGTAAGACTGATATTTTCCTTTATTTACAATGAACTCTTCAAGAATGGAAGCCATGACTCATTCATTTCTCGAGTCACAATGTATGCACATGCCAGGAATCTTTCCATGTATTCAGGGAATGTTTACTGAATAACAGGAAATAAAGCTTAACATTCTAACATTTGCACTGAATTTTAAGCAGCTAGGGCACAATTTTATTTACCTTCTTGGTAATGACTCAACATTTCTATCAGTTTGGAGGCCCTACCAATTAATCCACACAAAATGTCCAAGTATGATTCTACACAACTTATAATTTTTTAAGTCACATTCATTTACCTTATACTTCATAACAAGAAACGAAGAGCAGAGACCCCAGGAAAATACTGTTCCTGGTACTGTTGTCATGTACTAATTTTAAAAAAGAAATAAAAAACCACATGATTTTTAATGGGGTAATATATAAGGATCCAAAAAAATCTGCCAAACATTGCTATGCTGACTAATGGTCAGAACGTTTTTGTAGAAATTCCCAGAACAAGTTTGTGAGAAAGCATTACCCTTCTTGTCCCTTTTCTGGCTGGTGTTTGATTTTAGTTATTTTAATCAGTGTTTTTTCCAAGTCTAATGAGGTTGTTTGTTAGGCGTACCATGTTACATCAAATGAATCTGAATACCCTTTGAGACAACTAAATAGCAGTTGCAGTAAATATTCATCATGTGGAATTAATAATGGCATCCGGAAATGTTCTTTTTTAAAAGGGCTCTCTTTACCGAAGAACCAGCACCCAATATGGTATTAAAAACAAAGGAGGGCCATTTGCTGGATATCAAATTTACAGGAGAAAGAGCAGGACTGTGAGATCACCCTGGTGACAACCTTTGAATAACTCGCTTGCAAAGCATAAAGGCTTATCAGGTATGCTGAGAATAACAGAACTGAGATTGTAGTTACACAGCAAAACTTCTAATATGAAATGAACTAAATAATTATGGACTGACTGGATAAAAGAATAATTGTTAATTGCTACTTTCTGATGAATAAAATTTCAAACTAAGTAAGTTTTCTATAGACTTACAAGGTGAAAATGGAGCTCTCCAGTCAGATGTTAGCATTACAGAGCTAATGAAGGAGCTTTGTAGAATGGTGTTACGTGATTTCTGATTTACGGAAAAAGCTTTACCTTAAGTCACATACAGTTAGCATATCTTATTTGTTAATATCAAGCATAATAAGGAAAAGAAAAACATAGAAAAAGGGGCCAAGATGAATAAAATCAAGTAACAGATGATTGATGTCACTGGGATTTTTCTAAAGTGGTTTATTGGTTGGGTGGTGCTTGTTTTTTGGCTTATAATCTTGCCTTTTGTGTTTAAAATAAACTTTAAAAGCTAGAAAAGTAACTGGATCTGCCAGTTGTTGTGGTCACTTTTCTTCCTGCCACTCTTCTCAGTAACATTTACTTGGAAAAAGAGCAGACTCCGAGAACTGGTGATGGTAATTTTAGTTCCATGTGTTAAGTTTATTTTATTGAACTGTGTGGAAATTAAAAAATTTTAGGCTAGCTTGATACCAAAATTGATATATTTAAATTCTGTTTGTCTTTAGGAACCACTAGATTTCCCAACTGCATAATTTCCAAAAAAAATCAGTAACATTTACTTGGAAAAAGAGCAGACTCCGAGAACTGGTGATGGTAATTTTAGTTCCATGTGTTAAGTTTATTTTATTGAACTGTGTGGAAATTAAAAAATTTTAGGCTAGCTTGATACCAAAATTGATATATTTAAATTCTGTTTGTCTTTAGGAACCACTAGATTTCCCAACTGCATAATTTCCAAAAAAAAACTAGAATAAATAGAAAAGAAGAAAGAAAACCCAGTGAGTTAATAAAAGGCAGGAAAGATAAAAAATAAACCAAACCAAAAAAAAAAAAAATCTCCAAACTTCAAAAAAACAATAATGTAGGTCTTGACAAATTCAGAGTGTCTGTTAGTTAGATTGACTTTATAGAGTATTTGGGATACAATTCACATATTCTCCTTTATAGCTTTTCTTAAAACTCCATTAAATACTGAGATAAATAGATCCACTGGTTCCACTTCCCTAGCAAATAGAAGTTTCCATTTTGTCAAATATTTGGACATCAAAGGTTGGTATTTTTCTTGTAATTATTGTCAAGAAATATTTCCTTAAGGACATCAAAACTGACTGCCACTGGAAGGGACACATAAAACACATTTCTCCATTTGTTCTGCCTCCAGAGACTGTTTCCCTTTGCCACCTCTGTACCAGTTGGTAATGAAAACACATTTGAACAAATTAAAACTAACAATCCATGTAACACCCACTGCCTTTCAGAACTGGCCAAAGAAACGTCACTGGTGCCACTGGTACAATGTGCAATTTGATGCAATTAGACTTTGACCCCTGCTTTATTTGCTGAAATTTGATCTGTTTGCTGCTATTTGTTGAACATCTTTCTACTTTACTGTAATGCTTACTTCAAATGCACCATTAAAACTGCTCTTACAGGAGCACGTGACTTCCCAGAGACTCTTCATAAGCAAAGATGCCCTTTTTTCCTCCTTGTCTCCAAATGATGTGTATGAGTGTATATATACATAAAAGGAGGCCAAACTAAAAAGCTTCCAAAGTTAGCTATTGAGAAACTAAAATTTTTCAGAGAAGTTTAAGCAGGAGTATTATTTCTATTAATGAGTGGATTTTTTTTAAAGGAGTTGAATGAAACACAAAGCTAAAGATGAAGATCAATTTCCTTTTTTAAATCTTGATTTTAAAAAAAAGGTAGATTTGACTACATGCATTAGAATTTGTAGAACTCCCAGTTCATGTCGATTAAGAAGAATTCATCTGGATGAACTTTAAACACCCTTTAGAACTTTATATGTGCGGAATTGGAAGCTCAATAAATACCAAGTATTGTTATAATCTACTGGCAACTAGAAAAGAGATTGGAAGTCAAGGTTAGTCAAATTAGATAAATTTGTGTTTCCTCAGGAAAAGTCTCAGAATGCAGGTCTGAGGTGGAAGTAAAGAGTGTTCCTCCATAGATTGATGGAGACAACACAGAACAGACTATTTACGACTGATGAAATTTAACAAGAATATGTAAGAACAGAAAATGCTCTTGGTGATCCAATCATGAAATTAACCTCCAAGGCTTTAGTTTTTTGTATAATTAAACAAGAATAAAAAGTCAAAATATTAAGTGGTGCATCAATATAGGCACTTTTATTCTCTAGTGAATAAGGTGCACATCTTACAACAGTATCAGGAACAAGTGTATCAAGAAACTGTGGTATTTACCCCCAATGAATTCATCCTATATACCTATGTGTTGTTATTTATTTGTGTGGAATGATGAAAGATCTAAACAATAAAGGAATGACCAAATTGCTCTTGTGAATGTCCTCAAGGAAATACTGTGCAGGAATTAAAGATGTTTATTAAATTCATAGTAAAATGAACATCTTAACACTGTTACAATTTTAAACTATGAAAGCTTAGCACAAAAATGTGCATATAATGTTTGATCACTACTATGTAAAGTAAACCACAGTATATACACAGAAAAACACCAAAACAGTCACCAGAATTTTCTTCAGGAGCTGATACATCAATGATATATATCTCTCCTCTTTTTAATTTTCTGTATCTTGTGTATTATCAATGTTTCAGTATACTTTATTTTTGTAAAATGTAAGGTTTTCTTTGGGAGCACTTAGACTATACAAAAATGTTCATGTATTTCCTTTTTTCTGGTAGTATTTAACATTACAACTTTTACTTACCTCTTCTCATGAGGTAGAAATTCTTTAATAGACCCCACGACTTGTACCTCATTTGCTTCTTCTTTAGCCTGGATTTAAATGAAGCAAACACAATCAGTTGATAAACAATTAACAACACAGGATAATCATTTTTCTTATTTCCCATTTGACAGATCAGGTATTTTCTTTAATTAATTGAATTATTTGACATTGTATCACCTCCCCCAATAGCTATATTCCATCTTTTTAATGTTTTTCAACCAAGATGCATTTAAAGTAAGCATACTACCACCGAATACGATAGAACCAAAAGAGTGTCATGAATGTGTCAGCTAACAGAAACTGCAAGGCATGCAAATTCAGTTTTTCAGGCTATAACAGAAACAACCCCCAAAGAACTTATCCCATTAAGCCTGGAATTCAGGTTGCCTTTTTTTTTTTTTTTGTCTTCCTAAAGTATTTCACCTCATTTTAAAGCTTTCTTTTATGTTCTCAGGATTTACATAATTATTTTAATAATCTTTCCTCAGCTAAGGAACAAAAGTCCTCACCTTACAATGATGTCATCTATTTCCATTTTTATTCAACATAGTACTAGAAGTTTAAGCCATAGCAATTAGGCAAGAAAAAGAAATAAAAGACTTCCAAATTGGAAAGGAAGAAGTAAAACTGTCATTATTTTCAGATAACATGATAGTGTATATAGAAAACCCTAAAGACTTCACAAAAAAGCTAGTAGAATAAATGAAGCCAGTAAAGTCACAAGGTATAAAATTAACATATAGAAATCTGTTGCTTTTCTATATACAAATAATGATCTAACAGAAAAGAAATTAAGAAATCAATATCTTTTTTACAACTGCACCTAAAAGAATAAAAACCTAGAAATAAATTTAACCAAGGAGATGAAAGATCTAGAGTCTGAAATCTGTAACACATTGATGTAAGAAATCAATGAAGATACAAATTAATGGAAAGCTATTCCATGATCATGGATAGGAAGAATTGATATTGTTAAAATGGCCATACTGTCCAAAGCAATCTACAGATTCAGTGCAATTCCTATCAAAATATCAATGGCATTTCTCACTGAACTAGAGCAAATAATCCTAAAATTTGTATGGAACCACACACACACACACAAAAACAACTGAATAGACCAAGCAATCTTGAAAAAAGAAGAACAAAGCTAAGTATCAGGCTCCCTGATTTCAAACAATACTACAAAGCTACAGTAATCAAGACAGTATGATACTAACACAGAAACAGATATACATATAGACCAATGGAACTGAATAGAGGGCCCAGAAATAAAGCTATGCCTATATGGTCAATTAATCTAAGAAGGCAAGAATATACAATAGGGAAAAGATAGTCTCTTCAGTAAATGGTGTTGGGAAAACTGGACAGCTACATGCAAAAGAATGAAACTGGATCACTGTCTTACACCACACACACAAAAAAATTTGAAATGGATTAAAGACATAAATTGTAAGATCTGAAACCATGAAACTCCTAGAAGAAAACATAGGCAGTAAACTCTTGAACATCAGCATTAGTAATTCTTTTTGTATATATCTCTCCAGGTAAGGGAAACAAAAATAAACAAGTGAAACCATATTGAACTAAAAGCTTCTGCATTGCAAAGGAAATCACACATACATCATGAAATAGCCATAGAATTATTCAGTCATAAAAAAGAATGGAATCTTGCCATTTATAACATGGATAGACCTAAAGGGTATTATGCTAAGTGAAATAAGCCAGACAAAAGACAAATACCATATAACTCACTTATATGTGGAATCTAAAAAACAAATGAACAAACAAAACTGAAATAGACTTATAAACACAGAGAACAGACCAGTGGTTGCTATAGGAGAGGAGGGTGGGGGATGGGTGCTATAGGTGAAGGGGGAAAAATTGGTGAGAATGTTTGACATCTTGATCTTGGGAATGGTTATGTGAGTGTATACACCTGTCAAAAACTCATCAAGTTGTATACTAAGATTTGTACATTTTAGTGTATATACCTCAGAATAAAAATAAATAAATAAAGCTTTGTGATCTAAGTGTTTACATAATTATTTTAATAGTCTTTCCTCAGGTAAGGCACAAAAGTCTCCACATTACAATGATGCCATCTATTTCCACTGTCTTTAACACATATAAATAGCAAAAAGTCTAGTCATGGTTAACACAGCTGGAGTACACAGATCTACTGGATTCCTTACATTTTATACAGTCACAGATTTTGTATCATTTTTCTTAATGATGCTAATTAAGATATATAAAGGCCAACATTCTAGTACATCCCTAAATCCTAATGATTTAAAGTTTGTGTCTAAATTTCTTAGTCCTTCTATGCTTAGATCAAATAAAAAATATAGAAAACAAATGACTGACTCTTATTGGTCTATTGGGACAGGTGAAGATATCTTAATGCTCCTTTAAACTTATTTTAAAATATGAGGAAGTTTTCTTTTCACACAAATTTTACTTGTTATGTGAATTTTATTTATATGAATTTATGATTAAAGAGCAAAACCAAAATATTTCAGGAGGATAAAAAGAAAAACAATGTAGTAAGAAAAATTGTGACTGGTATAACTGCTCCTATTTGCTTAATGACAATCCTGGTTTGGCTTATACATAGTAGGTATTTAAATTTATAGAAGTCTGAAGTCATCATGGAAATCAAGAATTATGAAGTCAAATGGAAACTGAAAGTGCAAACCATAATTTGTGCAATATGTCATAATGCATTTTCTCATGGTTAGGATTCTGTATTGAGGGTCCCAATCTTTGACTCAGCCACCTATAATTATGGAGTCAATAATCAGATGGGAAGAGGATCAGAAAGTAATTCTGTACTAATTAAAGAGCCTATGGGTAGAACTAAAGGACCTATTATCTGTTCTGTATATATCATGATAATAGTGTGACTCATAGTTTTATTGATAACACTTTTATACAAAATGTGTCCACTCCTTTTTTTGTTTTGTGTCTCAGAGAAGTTCACTTTCTTGCCATAGTTGTATTCCAAGAGCAAAGAAGCAGACAATGGGGTAGAGAATAGAATAAGAGCTGTGAACATGGAGCCAATTAGTCAGCTCTGCTTTTTAGTTCTTGGGTAATGTCTTAGACCAGTTGTTATTTTTCTGAATCTGAGGGTCTTCATTTAAAAAAAAAAAAAGGACTAATATTATTTGTCTACGTCTCAGTAGTTGTAAATCTCGAGGAAATTATGTTAGTACAACCAGACTGAAAAAGTATATAATATTGTTATTGATCATTTTATTAATCTTTGCTTGCTTACAACATTTGATCACAGCAGGTAGAAGCTTATTAATAATTATTTTAGGTGTTTTAATGATGGCTATCTATTTTGGGTAGCCAATCAAATACTGCCCAAAATACATAATAATTGCTCCAGACAGCAGATATATACTTAACCAACTTACAAATACTATGTGGATGGGTTTTCAGGACATCATTAGGCACAAATGAATTTCAACAAGTAATTTAACTCTTTAAAATTGCCACCTTGCCAAATGTCATGCATATGTAAAAGAACTGAAATGAAAAACGTGTCATTTATTGAACTCATGCCAAAACACCATTTTTTTCTTTTTTACATGAAATGATTTTTGAACTTAATTCCACCTTTGCAGAAAAATGTACACTTGCTGTTTTCACTAATTTCATTTCCTGAAAATCTTTGCTGAGTGATGTGCATAAATTCTCTATCATAGTAACAATCCAATGGAATAAGTGTTATCTTTGTTATTCAGATAGAGACACTTAATTCTGAGAGGTTACACAAGGCTTTCCATGAAACAGTCATGAATTAGCTACATTCTGGTGACTGTGTACTGTAATAAAGATATACTCCTTAAAGTGTAATGAAAAACAGGGTTTGTATGAACCCAAGGACAAATGCATTTTACTCTTATTCCGTATCAATTACTAAATATAGTGCGTGGGATATAGCATTTCTCAAGAGTGGTCACTATCATTGTCATTAATAATATTTAGGATAATCACAGACAAAATCATAAGGAATACTGTCATCATAAGAGTCTGTAAAGATCTTTTCATTTTATATTATCAAGAATCTTCAAATGATCTTTTGGACATAATAATAAAAATTCAATCACATTGGCAAATGAGAGTGCTTTTTTTTTTTCCCTCACAGTTTTACAGGTCATGTATATGAATGCTATAAATTAATCAAATTTACCAGGCTCTCGCAGCAAAGCAGAATAAAACTGCCTAGAGTGTTCTTTGGAGAGAAACCATCACATTGTAGCACCATTAGATTAACAACTTCATTGTGTGAGAGGAAAGGGAAAGTCACTTAATTTATAAAAGTGATAAATCACTTTGATTAAAAATTGAATTAATAAGTACACATTTCAGAAAGAATGAAGTTCAAATCGCCAATAGACTTACAACTCCTTGTTTTACTGCAATTTAATGGAACATCAAGTATCACCAATACCAGAATATTTCTGTTAAAAATCATATTCACTTAAAATTAGCTTTAGAAAGCAATTAGCGATTAAAACTCCCTATGTATCCATTTTTTAGCACTCTACTGATAATAATTGTAGCAAAAGATTGATTTGTTTGACTTAATAGACAATTTAGATCGTGAAAGACAAATCATTAGAAATTTCCAAGAACACTCTGTGAAAAAAATAATTTTCCTTTTAAACAAAAGGAAAGATAGTACACTGGAACGGTGCCACGATTCCACACAATGTTTACTATTCAAAATTGCTGCCCGGAGTTTCTGGCTGATCGTTCCAAACACAAACTTCATCTTGTTTGTATCCAGAGCAGTTACTGCTGAGCCTTCTGCACCTGACTTAGCAGTGCCCCATCGTCCCTCCCATAAACTTAACTGATGGCACAAAAGCAACAAGCACATGTGAGCAGTTGCCTATGGAACCCAGGCAGAAAGTACAGAAAGGGAAATAAGACATCAGCCAAATGCCCATCTTGGTAGCAGCGTGAAGGTCTCAAACATGCACAGCTTGTCAATTAGACTCTATATGCAATTAGAGACAATTAATACTTGGT